CATGAATTGATTCTTTTTCAAACAATATTACATATATAACTTTGTAGAACTTAGTCTTGTAGTAAAATATTGGTTCATACAGATCATCATGAATCGCGTCGACAATGGACATTTGAAAAAATTTAAAAGTTCAACTACAAAACCATGATTCTCTCGCTGGTCAAAATTTTGATCAACACTCCAAATCTTAACTATAATTGACTGGTTAATCTTAACATTCGTGTTGAAATTGCTAACTCCATCTTTATCCATTAAAAACACTATTTTAACGTTGATACACATATAGCTGAAATTTGTACAGAGTTTTGAATATGATAAATTTTGAATCAAAATACAATCGTTATTGGGATAACACATACCATGATGTGTACATGATATAAAATGATTTAAATACCATACAGTTGGATCATAAATCATAAATCATTTACGATTATCACAATTCTCATTCAGCTATTTCATAAATTTCATCAAGATTTGGTCTTTTTATAAGATTATCTTGTGACTTATGATCCTTAGTTTGAAATAAACATTTTTATTTACCAAATATTTACAATTAAATACGTACATTGTAGTAATTTGAATCTATCTGATTAATATTGATCACAGTTGATCACCAATTTATATATCAATATTTGAAAGCTAGATCATTCATTTCTCACGCGTACGCTTGTCGCGCAATAAAATCTACCACGTCCAAAAAAAAAATTATTCAAGAAAAACAATTACTTCTTCATGACTACAACACTATGCTCTGTGAATTTTGATTCTTAGATTTTGATGGTTATTTGATATTTGTTTGCTGCCATGGGTGATTTGATTAAGAGCTAGTTGATATTTCCATAGCTCTTGTCTAAACCATAACCAAACAATATGTCTACTAGGTGTGGAACCTTTTGTGCTTCAAAACATCTTGGTTTTATGAATTTTCCAATGAAAGTTAAGTGGCTTTCATGACCTGTCATACTGAAAATCCATTGAAGCATCCGAAGATTTATATGATATGATATACTAACTAAACTCTCATAATGTTAATTGTTTGCAAAAATCATATATAATCATTATTCATCATTCTATTCTCATGATTTACATCAAGATTTGGTCCTTTTAGATTATCTTGTGAATTATGATCTATAGTTTGGATACACATATTTAACAAATCATTTTATCATTACATATATTGTAGTTCTTTCTAACTTCTTATAACTTCTTAAGCTTTTATTATTGAACTTAGACTTATATACTAGCTCAACTAGCTCATATTAGTGCTGATATTGCTGATATCATACTTACATAACCAAAACGAAGCAAATGTCGCGATTTTTCATATTTTTTACTTATGATAAATTTTTCAATTCAATCATACAATTGTATGTAAATGATTATAAATTTGCAATTTGTGTTTCAATCTTATGAAAAAAGACAACTTAATGCCAGACATGTGTTTTCGATGGAAGATCATAAAATTTTGAATTTGTATCAATTTTCATTTGGCTTTAAATACTTGAATATTGACTTTGGGATCAATTGAAGTGATTAAACATCAATATTTTACTCGATATTTTCAATGATATCTCATACAATTTCAATCATGATATATATATTATATATTATTCGTCAGTATTCATTATAATATTATATATATATATATGATCAATTATAAACATATTCATGAATTAACATCCCGATCAAAGTTTCAACCAAAATTTGTCATGTTAATAAGCTCATGAATATAATTATCATTTTTCTAAAAAGCTTAACTGATGTAGGACTTCTATTATATTAAAATATGAACTTCATTTGAACATTGATATATACAGCTACAAGTAACATCATTAACAACAATTTCCATACATTGGAGCCAAAGAATCGTATATTATACTTTTTTGATATCATAAATTAACAACGAATTCATAAAGCAATCAATTGTGCAAATATTTGAGCATATCCTATCAATATTGGTTCACTCATGAATTGATTATTTTTCAATGTTGTATTGCATACTTACTACGTAGTTCAAGAATTTTGGTTCATACAGAATATATCATGAATTATCGCGTCTTTGAAATTAAAAGCTTCAAACGCGAAAATTTTTATCTAATTAATAACACAATATACGAAAGACAACTATATTTTTTGCAATTTTTCAGCCTGTCCTTCGTACTTTTGAATATGATACTTTAAACTGTTTCTGTTCATTGTTTTCTGGCTTTTCCATTGTTGTTTAATATGCATAGTTTGTCACGATATCACCAAAGTTTATTTGAATTTGTTTTGACCAGTTAAACAATTTTTAATATACTTATTGAGTTTGAATTGCTCTAATAATTGATAGAATGACAAAGTTCTTGCTTTCTGCATTTTATGTTGTGGTATATTGAGCATTTGATTAATCCAGCTTGTATTTGTTGAACTTATTTTAATCATGTTGAGCCTAACTTCATTAACCATGTTGAAGATTTATACAAAACATGATTCATTAATCATAAATCATTCTACTTTCATTTATTTCATCAAGATTTGGTCCTATTATAAGATTATCTTGTGATTTATGATCCTTAGTTTGAAATAAACATTTTTTATTCACAAATTATGAAGAAATATATTGTAGTTGTTTGAATGAGTACAATTTGATTGATTTAATCTTTCTATGATTATACATCATTTACATAATCTTTTTTTTTTTTTCATCAATTTATAAATATTTGAAGCGCGTCGAGGTTTCAAAATTTACACACAACAAGAAATTTATTCATGGTCAGAGTTTAAAAGTGATTTTGCGTATATATTCTTCAGTTCTTATTTCTTTCAACAATGATTTAAAAGCAACAGTTTAACTTTGTGTATGATAGTTGCATCTTGCATTTTGCAACTTCTTTCTGATCTTTAACCTAACATCTACGTCAATTTATTAATAAAATTCCTGAAAGCAGTTGGCAAATTTATAAATACTAGAGAATTAGCAGCTCCACCACTGTTATACAAAACCAATCTGCAAATTAGATTTATATGATGTTATAATATATTGATAATTTAAATCCCAGTTTGCAATATTCAATATAAATCATATACAATCATTCCTCAACATCATTCTACTTTCATACATTCCATTAAGATTCGATCTTTAGTTAGATTATCTTGTGATTTATGATAACTAGTTTGAATACACATTTTCCAACAAATTATATATAAAAAGATATGTAGTAGATATTGTTTAAATTATTGTACTTAATATACTTTATACTATGATTACGCGTCACTTATATAAGCAAATTCAGATGATATATTCGCGCGCTTTTTTCATAGAAAAAAATTACAATTTTTGAATTTAACTTATTGTCTATACTTGTATTACCAATTTGTCTTGAAACTTGGGCCTATCAGTGGTTTATTGTCTGTGAAAATTTTCGTATCTTGGTGAGATAAAGTAAAGCTTAGGCTTCTTATTGCAATTAGCATTAAACGTTACAACCTTGTGGATATCCAAATTTTATCTTATACATGTTGTTATTCCGGCCCCGCTATCAAATAAGATGTATTGGTGTACCAAAGATTTTATATATGATACAATATTGAAGCTGCAAAATTCCCAATTTGAATCATAAATCATATATAATCGTCATTCATCATTCTATTGACATAAATTCCATCAAGATTCGGTCATCAAGATTATCTTGTGAATTATGTTACATAGTTTGAAATACATTTTTCTCACAACTACACAATTATTGTAGTTATACTAACTTCTTAAACTTTAATATTGAATCTAGACTAGACTAACTTGACATCATACTTACATCATCAAAGACAAAACTAATAAAGTTCATGAAATCATTAAATCGCGAATGATATATAGTTTTTGTTAGTAGTCATGCATAGATCATAAATCATGGATCATGGGTATATAAATCATATAAAAGTTCTTTAATTTTTCATTCAGAGAAAGCTACGATAAATAAATTAGACATTTTTTATGATAACGTTTGTTTGACATCACTCGCTTTTTCTTGGTTCATAATTCCTGTTTTGATATGTACATACGTACATAATATGACCATTCAAAAATTTTCTTCATTATTAATATACTCATACACTCATCATTGAGCTAGATTATAATTATATTATTATATTAAGTTTAAGACCCACAATTAACTTTGATGTTATACTATATATATGATCAATAAACATATTCATAACTGCAAACATTTGATCAAGATTTAAACCAAATTTTGTCATGTTTTAATGCTTATGAATAATCATCATTTTCAACAATCCTCGTAGGTAATTACTATATAATAACACCGCATATCAGTGTATATAAACTTCTTCTAGTATCCTCGTTATATTAATCATTCAGAATTCTTATTCTTTGAATTATTTTAGTACACAAAAAGAAATATTAGTACAAGCTATAAATTTGCTACGAACGCGAACTTTTAAAGTTATTGTTAGTACACCGTGCATGAATTCTAGCCTATATAAACCATGAAAATTCCTTCAAATAAACCAATTTCATGATCCTTAAATATATTCAATAATGTTCATATATTGATAAATTATTATATGATTAATTGATGTTCTGTTTTGGTTTAAAGAATAAATTATTTTGACTTTATAGTTTATCTATTTCTCAAGAAATAGTATATGATTTCTTCTACTAATTGGTTGTTATAACATTTCTTGACCAGCAAGAGCGTACGTTATAACCTGGATTGTTTTTTAATTTTTGTTAATATTAATCATGTAAGTATACCATACATATTATCAAATGAACATATATCCCATATATATGATCAAACATCCAATAAACATAAATTCATAATCCCAAAACATCAGATCAAAGTTTAAACCAAATTTTGTCATGTTAAGGCTTATGAATTAACATTTTCCAACCTTTCCTTCGTAGATCCATCAAAACTACAAAAAACTTTTTATAAATATCTTATATTAATTATACATCTCATTATTCATAACTCATAAACTATCTCTATTTAATAAACTTTCTAATGCATATTTTTTAAATTTAATAAATTTTTAATACCCTCATCATCATCATTCTTTCTTTTCTTAATAGGAGAATTTTCATCCCTTGTACCTTGATCATTAAAAACACTAACAGGTTTAGTATGAATAGGTGATGGATTAACTTTCATTACAGGTTTTTGTCTTGTCTTGAAAGATAAATTATTTGATGAAATTTGTTGTAATGGTTTTCTTGGTGTTGATGTGTTTGATGAGGATGGTTTTGAGAGGCGGAATGTATATGTTGATCCATGGGTTGGTGATGATGATGGTGAGGAAGTGTGAGAGTGTGGTTGTTGTTGTTGTTGTGGGGCTGGTTGAGGTTGTTGAGGTTGAGGAGCTTGTTTTATTGGGGATGATGAATTTGATGAATTTGATGATGAAGAATTGGGATTTTGAATTTGGGTTTGAGTTTTCAAAGGAGATGAATTTGATAAATTATTTGTTAATGGAGTTTGATAAATAAATGGAGATTGTTTAATTGGAGTTTGTTGTGGTTGATGTTGTGGTAATTGTTGAGGTTGAGGTAAAGAAACTTGTGGTTGTAAATGTTGTAAATGTGGTAAATAAATTGGTTCAATATGATGAATTTCTTTTTCAAAATTTGATTGTCTTCTAAGGGTTTGTCTTCTATTTTGAAACCAAATTTGTATAGCTTTTTCAGTCATATTTACATTTTTAGCAATTTCTAATCTTCTTGCTTTGTTGGGGGTTGAACCTTTTTCAAATTCATCTTGTAAAATTGATAATTCTAATGGTGAAGTTCTTCTTCTCTTGCGTCTTGCTAATTGATGATTATCAATTGATGGTTCTTGTAAGGGGAAAGTTGATGGTGAATGACTTATAAAAGCATAAGATTTTTTTTCAATTAATGGTGAAACAGTTGATATTGAAGATTGATAAAATTGTGGTTGAGATGGTGGTATAATTGAATTTGGAGTTGGTATTGGGTTTGGTGGTTGTAAACTTTGTTGATTTTGATTAAAATTTATTGAATCAAAAGAAGGTAATCTAATTGGAGTTTTCATTATTGGGGGTTGACCTTGTTGTTGTTGTTGATTATCATCATTTAAGATTGAAGATAATGGAGGTAAAGAACGATCATTTAATTTAACATTTGGAGTTGATTGAATAGAATTTAAATTTGGTCTTGACATTGTTATTGACATTGGAATGTATGAAGGAATGAATTTAAAGAGTGTGGATTGAAATGTTGATGGAGTGAAGTGAAGTGAATAAATGATTTGATTTCAACGGGAACAACACTTATATATATATCACCAAATATAATGTATTTCTTCATAAATTGAATAAATTGAACGCGTTTAAAAACATTGCATTTAAATTTATGCTTCATTCCTTTCAAATTTAAATTATTCGCGTATCAAAAACAGCGCATCCCTTTGAAAAGTAAACAATGAAATGAAATGAAATAATCACGGTGACAATTTACAAGGGAGAACTTGGAACTAGAAGGGAGTGCTAGGCAGGGGTTTACTTTGTTTACTGTGTGTTTACTGTCTTAGACAGAGTGTTTACTGTGCTTACTGTTCTAGGCAGAGTGTTGTTTACTTGTTTACTTGTTTATCAATACATAGTATACACAATCAAATACAATACAATACCAGTAGTCAATATACACTATACTTGATCTAAACTCATATAATACCCAATACACTTATACCTCATTACTATACCTCATTACTCATTATTATAACTCATAGTCTCATTGTAAACCACTCCTCTCTACTTCGTCTCGAGTCGTTGTTTCGTTGTCAACACGCTAATTTAATGCAATGCACACTGTTAAAACGCGATGAATTAATTAAACCGTGAATTGGGAAATAACTGAACAGGAACATCATCAACGATCAAGTAAACAAATCAATGTGTATTCCCAATGCGGTAATGTGCTATGCCATAATTAATATTAAGTACATATTACAGAATATAAGACTCTAGACTATATCATTATTACTATTCATTTACTATATTTACTATTCCTTTACTTTACTTTCCTTTACTTTATTGAATAATGATTGTATATGTATACACATTACATAATACACACGCTACCGATTACATAACACATAGTTTCAGTTTACCCTACTTTCCCATAACCTCTTTAATTAATTAATACCATTGACACCATTGACACTTGACTTATAGTACTATTATCTATAGAGTCTAGACAACTCACCATCAACCCAATGTCTATACCCAAACAGAATGGAACACAGCGGTCTATAAGGTATATAAGGTATATCCCTTTGTTATTCATTGTCCCTTTGATATATAAATATTATACCTATACAACAACAACATCATCATCATCAACATCTATTGATACAACACCAATACAAGTATCTTATAACTCAATTAATGAATCTGAATACAACAGACTAGGTCTAACTCCTACACCACCAATAACAATAACACATACAAATTCAATAGGTCAATTCCAATCATCAACATATCATGGTAGATTCTTACATATTACAGATATTCATCCAGATGAATATTATAAAACTAATGGATTGATAGATGAAGCATGTCATAGAACTCATACCAAGAATGGTAAGACCAAAGGTGCTAAAGCATCAAAATATGGTGATGCTTTATTAGGTTGTGATTCACCAATAATCTTAATGAATGAAACTTTTAATTGGATTGAAAAAAACTTGAAAGATAAAATTGATTTTATTATATGGACTGGTGATAATATTAGACATGATAATGATAGAAAAATCCCAAGAACTGAAACCCAAATATTCGATATGAATCGTAAAGTATCCCAAAAATTCATTAAACATTTTGCGAACCATGATTCCCAAGATCCAAGAGATTTTCGAATCCCTGTTATACCAAGTTTAGGTAATAATGATGTTTTCCCACATAATTTATTTTCACCAGGTCCTACGTTACAAACTAGGGAGCTTTGGAACATTTGGTCAAATTTTATACCACAAGATCAATTACATGTTTTTGAAAGAGGTGCTTATTTTTTCCAAGAAGTTATCCCAGGAAAATTAGCCATCTTATCAATAAACACCCTTTACTTGTTTAAATCTAACCCATTAGTGGATAATTGTGATAATAAAAAAGATCCAGGTTATAAATTATTTCAATGGTTAGGTGTTGTTTTACAAGAATTAAGAGAAAGAAAAATGAAAGTTTGGTTAAGTGGTCATGTCCCTCCCGTCCCAAAGAATTATGATTTAACTTGTTTTAGAAAATATTCAATTTGGTTATATGAATATAGAGATATTATTATTGGTGGTGTTTATGGTCATATGAATTTAGATCATTTTATCCCAATAGATTCTAAAAAAGCTTATGATTCATATAACTTGAATACAAAAGACCATGAAGACGAATCATTATCATTGGAAGAACAATATCATGAATTTGGGATTGATTTATCAGATCCATTCTTATCATCACCACATATCCAAGGTGGTGCCCCATCAGGAAAAGAAGAATATATGGAATCTGTTCGTAAATCTTTTTATAAAAATGTTGTTAAACCTTCCAAACAAGGTGATCATGGTGAACGTTATTCTATTGTTAATGTTGCAGCTAGTGTTATTCCAACTTTTAACCCGGGACTCAGGGTTTGGGAATATAATATTACAGGGTTAGAAGATGGGTATGGAGCAAAACCATGGGATTTATTTTTCCAGGATTTAGAAACTCAGATGAAGAACCAAGATGAAGATTCTTTTTCATTTGATGATGATCAAGAATTTGATGAAAACTTGGAGACTGAAGGAAAGAAAAAAAAGGGTAAAAAGGGTAAAAAACCAAAAAAACCTGATAGTTCATTACCATCACCAAAACCTGATTCAGAACCTTTAGGACCAGGTTATACACCACAAACTTTTTCTCCTACAAAATTTATTCAATATTATGTTAACTTAACAGCTGTTAATTTAGGTGATCAAGAATTTAATTATGAATTAGAATATAAATCTGATAAAGAACCTTATAATATGCCGGGGTTATTAGTTAAAGATTATTTAAAATTAGCTAGAGATTTGGCAAAACCTTTGAAAAGGGGGAATGAGGGTAAGAAATTGGGGAAGTTTAAAAAATTGTGGGATAAGTATTTAGAACATGTTTTTGTTAGTACGGGGTATCATGATTAAAATGTTTATAAGTTTTATATATGTATGTATTATAGGTTTTTTGAATGAATTTTGGTTGTAGGTTAGGTTTTATTCTGTTAATGGTTTTCTTTTCAACATACCAAAAATTAATTTTTGTTCTTTATAAATTATAAACCCAACAAGTATACCAGCAAGTAAAACATTCCCTATTAATTCTTTTAAATTTCTTGTAATACCAAATAATAATAAATCCAAACCCCATATAACACCACCAAAACTTAGGATTTTTTGTAAATTTAAATCAAATTTTAAAATCTTCCTAGATACCATATTTTTCTTATAAAAATGTTGAATAAATTCATTACAATACCAAATCCTCAAGATCATATTAATCATATTTGATCCAATTAACCCCAACAATGATAATTCAAATTTATAAATACCTAACCATGAAGTAAACACAAAAACTCCAGAGAAATAACACATAAACCAAGTATAGTTAACAACTTCACTCCCCGAAGCGGTGGATTGATGAACTGATTCTAGGATACCATTGAATGCTAATAATGGTAAATACAAGGTATATAATGGTATGATTTCTGAAACGTGGTTTGACCAATTATTACCTATGATTTTTTGGATCAAGTAACCTGAATTCAAAGGACCAAATATTATGATTATAATTGATAAATAAATATAAAACAAGATGATTTTTCTTAGGATATCAATTGATAAGTTTAAGTTTTTGGATGATTTATTTGTTAATAATAACCTTGTTAGGAAATTTCTGAGGGATTCCTCCACTGGAGCAAATATTAATCTTGCTAATAATGAACCATAATTTGAAATAAGTGAATAAATCCCTTGTTCCTCAATTGTACAAAATTGATTGATAACTAATTTATCACCTTCTGTAAGCAGATGTTTAAAACATAATTGGAAGAAAATTTTTATGAAATGGTTTATTGCTTCTTTATCAAATATGTAATAATTTTCATTGTTATGGATTTTAGTTATGGATAATGATAATTTAGATGCTGTGGGAGTTATGGATTTATATGATCTAAAATCCATATAATATGAGATTAATAACACTAAGGAATGTGATAATTTACCAATGGAAAATGCTAAGATTGGTATACCATCCACAGGGGAATCCTTAAACCAAAATACAATACCAAAATTAACAAAACAATTTATAGTAATTGCAAGACTTTCAAATCTTGTTCTCTTGTCATAATTTAAATTAAATTGATTTAAATTATAAAAAGGTTCAACTAATAATTCAACCAAGATTGTAAACCAAATAACTAATAATGAAAGATTAAATAATTCCATATGACTGAAAAATTCTGATATTTTATTATATTGCCAATATATTATAAACAATGACATTGGGAATCCAATCATAATAGGAATAAAACTTAAATTTATTATACTTTGTAATGTTGCAATTTTGGAACCATGAGAAATTTTATTATGATTATATTTATCCTTCTCGGTGTATTCAACATCTTCATCTTCATCATGAGTTATGGAATCATTGATACGTTGTGATGATAATCTTATACCTTCTCTACTGAAAAATAATACAGTGTTGATCAAAAATTCTAAAAATGAATTTATACCAAATATTTTTGGTGATATAAAAGTTATAAGAATTTGATTTAATATAAATGTAATTAATTTTGTGAATATTGAACCTATGAATAAAAAAGTTGCACCTTTTGCTGATTTTGATATTAGATTCTCGGGATCTTGTGAATTGGGTTTAGTTGACATGTTCTTTGGTGGCCTTTGATCTGTTTTTGAAAATAGATGAGTAAATTAAAGATTTGGTTTTTTATTTATGTCTTGAAAAATCCTCGAGAATTTTAATTTATTTATGATTTCGCGTATCAATGGGTTTGACACCATTTCTTGAAACCGGGATAACTTGAGTGATCTTGGTCTTGTAAACTGAGGAAATACATTAATATCTTTTATAAAACATTAGCTATCCAATGATATAACTTTCATCTTCAAATTCGGCGCAGGAGG